CTATATTATATATATTAATATATATAAATATATATATTTATAGTTTAAGGTAGTGATAATTAAAGATGAGTTAAATAAATACCAATATGATATATAAACTAAACTAGGTATTTGGTATCCAGGCAACAACACTTCTTTTTAAGATTATAGATATTTTGATTCAGACTTTTACATGGATGTAGGCATGGATAGAAAGACGTACATCAAAGGAAAAACGTGGGGTTTTTTTCAAATTTTCCAATAGGAAGTAAAAAGATAGGTCCTTAATGTCCCTAGTCCAGTAGAAAACAAAGACTCTGTTGCACTTTTCACTGCTGAAGCTGAGTTATATTACCTTAGGAAAGTTGTGGTGGCCAATCCTCTTCGTTAAAGAAATAAATTATATTATATATATATTAGCGTATTATATATATATAATTATATATAATATATATATTATATATATATAATATATATTTACTATTATATACTATATATATAGTATATATAGTATAGTAGTTATATAATATTTATAGTTGCAAGAATAGAATATACGTGGCGATAGAGTTAAAAATTTCTGTCTTAGCGTTATACGATATATATAGCAAACATGAAAAAATATAACACCAAGATTTTTACGTGAAAATTCTAGAAAAGGTAAAAAAACCAACGGGGCCCACACCCATTTGAAAGACGTAAATTTCACTAGTGTTTGTTTGAAGTACAAGAACCTGATTCGTCCTTAAAATTTAGGAAAAGATTAGTTTTACATGTTTCATTAGACATTTGATATCCGCATCTTTAGCTTCAAATGATGAATCCTTACAATTAATCTCTACATAATCTATAATTTCTGATCCATTTCAAATTCATATTTTAATTTAAACTCGGAATATTTAATAACAAAATTATAATTCCAACTTTTTTTCCTCAGTTGAGAAGAGATGGTATTTACAGAGTATTTTTTTCCTCGTATCAGACACTGCCTTAATTAGTCTTGCAAAGCCTAATTATTTGATTTTCAAACCCTAATGGGTTGATGCAAGGCAATCCCCTATATATTAAAGTTGCCAGCTCTATATATATCAACGGGAATTCTAACTTGAATGTTTGCATAACGTATGAAAAAAGCAAAAATGCTTTTGTTAATTAGTCTTTTTTGTGCTTTACTAGCTACATTAGATAGCCATCACTAATATAATTAGGTTGTAGACTTTGTGGCCTTCTTTTGGGCATAATTAACTTCTATATATATATATATATGCCCATCTAATCATATATAGACTTGTAACTATATGCATGGTTATTTCAACTCTTCACCTACATCATTAATGTGGCCTTACACATTTCTTCTAATGATCGTAACTTGTTGATTACTACCTATATATATATATTGATATGTCATCACAAGAGTATATATGCCCATCACAATATTTTATTTTTATATTGTGAAATGATTTGTTACAAAATAAAAGAAAATATGCTTTATTACATAGCAAAATATAATAAAAACATATCAAAGAATAAAATAGCACATTACAACATTATCAAATTAGGCACAAGTTTTAAAACACGTCATAATAAGATCTCTAAATGAAAAAAAAAGTCAAAATGTCAAGATGCAAAACATAACAAGATGGATGTCAAAGAGTTTATAATTAAATACGATAAGATTATTCTAATGACATTACATACACCACTAATTTCAATATAAATTCAATAAATTTTTTTCTTTGTATCGATATATTCTAACATAGATTTTTTTAGGTATCTAATACGTCATAAAATATTTTAAAATTTATGAAAATAATTTTAAGTTTAAATATCAAATGTTAAACATAATTTATAGACAAAATAAAAATAAAAATAAATAAATAAATACAAAAATTGATTCGACCTCGTTGACGGTCTGATTGCGATCAATTTTTATTTCTTTAATTGATATAGAGAAAAAAAAAAAAAAGCGAAAGTAAAAAAAAAAAAAAAAGAGACAAAAGACAAAAGAAATGTACCACCGTGGTATTATCCAAACCTTTGATGCGTGCATCTCAAATCCTTTTGAGGCATTAATAACCAGTAATCTTCTCATCCCATGCCCCAATTTTTGTTTTTATCGGGATTGAAGTCTTAGCCTTCATCCGTTGAACTGCTCAGTTCGCCATGGGGCAGGTGTTGGCGAGCATTCAAGATAAATTCCACGGTACTCGCTCTTTTTCCAAATTGAAGGAAGCATCAGCTACTTCTTTTACTCATATATGCCCTAGTAGAGCTGAAAGCTTGAAGCTTTTTCATGAAATTTTGCAGGGAAGCAATGGAAGGAGAGGCAGATAAGGAAGATCAGTGATAAGGTGTTTGACCGAATCAAGGACGATTTGGGAGAGAGGAACCTCGCCTTTGAGGATCTCTACATCGCCGTTCTCATAATATACAAGTATGGCATCCTATCCTTCATCACTTTTCCCCTCAAGGAATCGAAGAATGCATAGATTGATTTTTTGACTTTGTTGTTTTCATCAAAATTTATCGCTGGTGCTTAATGTTTCAGTGACATCAATAAGCACTTACCTGGGCCTCACAATGATCCCCCTTCCAAGGAGAAGCTGAAATATATTATGCAGGTATGGATTCGCGTAAATGAAGGTTTCATTTGTTCTGTCTCATTTTCGTGCCTTGGTGTATTTGCTGCAGATTCATCAGCTGTTTTTCTATCTTTTTTTTTTTTTTCCCCGGAACTGGGCATATTGGAAAGGGTGTGATCGGAGCAAATTTGGAAATGGTGGTTTTTTTTATTAATTCTGTTTTTTGCAATTGGAATTCTTAACTTTGAATTTTTTTCACTCAATCAAGTTGATTTTATAAAATTGTTTTATTCTTCTGTAGAACTGTACGTCAATTAAAAGTATGTAGAAATTGCTTGAATCCTTTCTAAAACGAAGGATGAATTTTATTGGATATGTTAATGCTGCAATTGATTAGGATATCCTATATATTGTATTATAACTGTTAATGTGCTATCCTCCTCCATTCGTTCTTTATTCTGTATCAAAATATAGTTAAAATATGTTAAAAACTAAAGGGACACATATATATAAATTAAAATCAAAATAAATACTAATGGCTATAAGCTGAAAGAAACAGTTCTCCAAAGAGTTTGAAGGGGATCATGCATGGTGATTGTGGACATGGAACCGGTTCATGTATAGCTTTGCAATCAGCAAGCATTTCTTCAAGAATGAGGGACTAGGCATTTTGGTGGCAGGTGAAAAAACTTCATCCTGGTAGTGAAAGCAATTAGCTCATCTCCTGTTGCATTAAATGATAATAGAGGGAGGTATCAAAAACTCAATGTCAAGTTGAGTAGGGAGAAGAACTAGAGAGTCAGGCAAGTGCAAGCAGATATAAACAAACATTGATCTAAATTGAAGGATATATGCCTGGCCTGCTCTTCTATAATGGAATTAGAAGCACATACTCAATGCATATGCCTGATCTTGAAGTTGAAAGAAATACTTGTAACTGTTGATCCTCCCTTGGTGACATTGAAGCAATTTCAGAACAATAGTGAACTTTGTATTCTCAAATTTTATTTTTGGCTTAGTAATAATCATCTTATTAATTGTAGATTGATCAGTAGCATCATCATTGTCTATCTCTGAATAATCATTTGCTTTTTTGAACTTTTGATTGTCATTGGATTTGTTTTGATGCGAATATAGCCAGTATAGTTCTGATGTAGTGGATCGTCGGAAGATGCCGACCTTCAAGAAGGATTTTGGGGTTATTCCCAATCCAAGCGAAGAGAAGAATGAAGAAGCTTTCAAAGCTTTAACAAACGGATGATTATCATTCAATGATTCCTTTACCTCTTACAATACTTGATATTTTATACAAGCTAAAAAAGTCTCAGAGGCTAGTCATAACATAACTTAGGAATAACACTACTTTCCTAAAGGCTTCATTTAGTTAAGATGTTCCTACATCATACTTTCCCCTTTGCTCAAAGGGCTCGACTCCATCGAGGCTTTTGTTTGGTAGGGAGTAGGGTAAGAGAATCTAACAAATCCCTCCGGGATCGAATAAATTTTGCATATCTGTGAATTACGCATTATCCTGTTCTAAGATACTCCAGAGTCAGTCCAGCACCACAAAAGCCTTGACGATATACATGCGCGCACCTGAAGGCCGTAGTGTGTGTGCTAGAGGGCATTCTTCGAAAGCACACACATTAGGCAGTTCAAAGTAACCATTCTTAGAGAACAATATTCAATACTGCAGTATTTTACCTGCGTGGTGCGCAACCTCACGCGATAATCCACTGATCCCGACCAATTAAGCAATGCTGCATACATACAGATCCGATCGTTTCCGAGCGGAGTGGTGATGAGTAATTTTTACTAACATATTATACATCAGATATTGCGACCACGCATATTAATAATGTTTCGTCTATCCAAAATCCTCGATGGGATTGATTTGTCGTGTTCTTCATCCTGAACACCTGATAGTTCATACTTAGTCTAGGTCCGATCTAAAGCTCTCCAAACAGAGCCCCACATCTAAGTAGCGAGGATGGATCGCTATCCAGAGCACAGTATTGAGACGTGACTGTCGAATGTATGACGCCGTTTTAATGCTTCATCATTAGGCCACCATACTCCAGTTCACACACGTATCCACTGTCAGTCGACTCAATCTAAAACACACAAACTTACGTAACTGCCGCTTTCCAATGGCCCACTTTTGATATCACTCACATTGGCATATATATTTCGATTGCATCTTAGCCGTGCTATCATAATATATATTTCGTGCTGCGCCCGTAGCCATGCGAAATAGCCGACCACTAATACCATCAACCTATCCTCTCACAGGTACAATACATATGAGTGCAATTATAAAATCATATTATAGAGCAGATAAATTATTGTTTTTGTACATAAATAGAAAAAAGGTAGACCGAACTGGTAATTCCATTAATCAATTATAAAATACTGCTCCTATCCGTCCAAGGGGTTTCTTCATTCAGCGACAAATCACCTATCAGTCCCCCTTTATGTCACGCATAAAGCAGCGCACGGTAGACACACATGTCAGATTCTATAGACAATTTCATACTAATATTCTCATATAACGGCCAAACATATAATTACACCGCTTCAACTGTGGTACGGCGTGGACCAACTTAACTATAACTGTCTAACCCATACGAACTCCATAAGAACGCGAAATATTTTTCTCACCAAAATATTTCATTTGCTGATAATAATCCTTGGAACCTGACCCCAATATCAGTAGGGGTCAGCACGAAAGTCTCGCATCCTCAATCCAGCCCCTAACTAGCAGGTCTTATAATACAAGGCGATCAACCTTAATACCTATATATTCAGAGATATGATTCTACATCATTTTAAAGCTTGTGATCTTCTGCCCTATTCTAGTGGTTCTCGATAGAGTAGCTACCTTCTAGTAATAGCACGTCTCAACTACTTGACCTAAAGAGTTGATTTGATTACAGAGTGGGATGCAATCGAAAATCTTCTGACGGAAGTGCGCTCCACTTATTCTGAGCTGACATATTATTTTGTGTAGTCTCATTAGTATCTGGTTAGTCAAAGAGAGGCCCAACACCTGATTATGGATCATGTTCATTACAGAGACATATTGGTAGGGTTGCATTGGGCGGTTCATAACCTACACAATTAATGTCTCGAGGTGTCGAAGTCCGAGGCTATCATACCTAACATGGTGAACTGCCTCTTCTTTTCCCATACTGTAAGTAGCTAAGCGCTTAATCACACTCCGTATCTCTTTTGGGCGTGACCTTAAATCCAGTTCCTACCTTCCGCACCGCTTATTTTGCAGGCGAAGATAAATATGTTTGCTTGATGGATACCTCCTGGAGCTACTTGGCTTCTACCTAAGTATATTAACTTTATTTTTTATGAAATAGTTCCATTCTCTTTTCACCTCACTTAGATTGTATGATTTCTTAATTCCATCTGAGGTGTGTCGAAATTTTATTTATTTAATATCCTTTTCTTTCTTCTTTTCCTGCTTATTCTGGAGTTGAGATTATATTGGTGCTTTCCAAACCACCATTTTCTCCCTCTAACTTATTATCTCTTATATCTCTTAGAGCAAAAAGGTTTTACGAGACCCTTTTCGGTTTATGAAGTAATGAAATCTTTCAATAGATTGTACCACAAATTTTCTTTACAGTGGAATAAAATTGGTTGCATCCTATCATCCACCCATTAAATTACACAAGATCCTGTTGGACCGGGGAATAGTCCTTATTCAATCGCCATAATCTCCTTGGAGTATTATTCCTCTAACGCATTTGGCTGTTAAAGGATTAGGGTTAGAGATAGAAATGTGATTTTTATCTTTTCAATGGAATCCAAGTTACCTCATGCTAAGTAGCGTATTTAAGAAGGAACTATTTCCGCTCCAAAATCAATCTAATATGGAACCTATGCTATCAAGGATTTTTTCAATCCTCCTATTAATAAAGTATGACAAAGTGATTCTCGTTGAAGCCCCAAAAGCCACCCATTCTTGTGCCTCTTCCAGTTGTAAATGAACACCAACGTAATATCTAATCAAGTTTGTGGTTTAGCAGTGAGTACCGAAGAGCGCTTATTCAGTTTATGAACAGTCTGCTGTTCGGTAGCTCAGTTCAACATCTTAAGTAGTAAGCAAGTCAGCCAAATATCATATGTTCATTAACAGTTAATCGGACTTATGCACTTCGGGTTCGGTCCATTTCAATACAGAGCAACTTCTGCACGTAGATTATGGAGTATTTTGCCACTTAATCGTACCCTCAGCCACAGATACATGTATATTTGGACAGTGGACGAGCGGTTTTGTGGTGTCAATCCGCTGGGTTATCTCGGTACGTGAGCCTGCGCTGTTCTGCGATAATCAGCGGTAAATCCAGGGAGCCTTGGCTTGAAAGTTAGGAGTTTGAGCCATTCGAATTTTTCTTTCTCTAGAAGATGATGAAACAGCATTAGTCTGGGTCTAGAACAAAACCTTTCTCATTACAGGCACTTACAAAGAATTCTTCTTTCACGGCTTTAGAATTATTCCATGGAGGTGGTAATCATTTGGTGCGCAAGAGAGTAAGTCTGCTCTCACAAGAATCCACTTCGTTATCTGGTTGGTAAATTGAGTGATTTGAGATCGGTTCGTTTCATAAATGCCTTAGTTTCCTCTCGGCTCGGTTGGTGCCAAATCGGCTCCTAGAGATGCGTGCTTGTAATAACCATTTATCTTTATACTTGCTCTAGACCTTTGTATGGGGAACTGAGGCAAGAGACTCGGAAGCCGGAGGCAGAGGAGATTGAAAGAGGGAAATCTCCAAGATGGTTGTTGACGGGTGAGTTTGGATTTAGATTCTTAACAAAATTGCCGATTCGCTACCTATATGTCCTGAGGCGGCGGGCGAGTCATAGGGGTTACTGGTACGAGACGCTCTATCACGCCGCTGCTGATAGCTATTTCACCAGTGATCGATCATGCTTTCAGCTGTCGGGCAAACCAAAGAGGCCTTTCTTTATTAGCGTACTTGTGCAAAATCAAGTGGTGTCGGTGAGGCACTCACTGATAGACATTGTAGGATCTATTCGGTCATTTAGCACCGAAAGAGAGGAAATTCAGAGTCTGAATACACTATCTCATCTTCGGTATGGAAACATATCCTCGGAAAATTTAACTATTGAGGGAATCTACCTTTCTAATAAGGTTTCACCACCGGAATCATCTT